TTTTCCTTGCTCAGACTGGCCCCAAGATTGTGTGTGTGTGTGTGTGTGTGTGTGACAATGGAAGGAAGCTGACATGGGAGTGAGTGTAGAATCAGATTCTCTATCCCTTTTATACCCTGTGTCTGAGCCCCATGCGCTCCCCCAAAGACTTCCGTTTCCAGCCAAGGATTCATCAGCTGATATTTTGCTGAGTCGCAATTTGGGTCAGGAAATGCTCCAGTAAAAAGAATGACCAATAAAATGCAGGCCTTCCATGCTGGGCACCCACTTAGGGGGTCAGTGCTGGAATGAGCCAGAAATCTTTGTCCACCCAAAAGTGAGGCCCAGAGGAGAGAGGGAGTTGTCCAACACCACACGAGCCAGGCCTCTGATGGATGACCACCGGCTCTTTTCCAAATTACCAAATCAGTTCAGAATGTGCCAAGGCCAGTGGCCGGGGATGAGCCATGCCACTAGCTGCCACCTCTCATCTAGCCCCTCGATCCCTGGGGGTGGCCTCTGACCTGGCCTCTGCTCCCTGGGCAGCCCCTACTTGGGCTGACGGGCCTTTGGGTGACTCACCATGTGCTCATTCTCTTCCTTCCCCCTGTCCCTGCTGCCCTGCCCAGGCCCAGTCACTGCCATCCATCGGAACCAGGAGCCTGGAGGGAGCGCAGAGCAATGGAAGCCCGAAGGAAAGGCTGGGACAGCCCTTGGACGACCTCTCTGGACAGCACGTGAGTAGCTGCTGTGGCAGCGTCCCCCAGCCCAAACATCCATTCATCCATCAAGCATTTATGAGTGGCTGTTGAAGCACTAGACTGAGGGTAGTAGATAAGCATATAAAATGCCCAGGGGGTAGAAGGGGTGGATGTGTGGGAGAGACAGAGAGAGAGAGAGAGGGAGGGAGAGACCCAATTATAGGGCACAGAGGAAGGCCAGGGGATGGGTGATGGAGTATTCACGGAAGGCTGCCTAGAGGAAGTGGCATCTCCGCTGAGTCCTGAAGGATGACTAATGATTAGCCTGGTGGAGGGTGTGGGACCAGGGTGTTCAGCCTGTGGGAACTGTGGGAACTGTGGCTCCCAGATGTCTCATCTCCTGGTGCCCCCGGGCCCGGGGCAGGGGGCTTGAAATATTCTAGGCTTTTCAGACGTGGCTCCCTCACCGGGCAGGCTCTGCATGTTGAGGTCCTTGTGCTTCGGCTCAGGGCTGCCTCTGAACACTGCCCTCAGAGCAGAGGGAGGACGCCGCCTGCCCCAGACCACAGGCTGCTGGGGGGCAGGCAGAGCTGCAGGGCCCCGGGAAGAGTCTGGGTCCCGGGACAGCGGCGCAGGAAGCAGCGGGTAGTATCCTGCAGGGTTGGAGGGAGGGCTGGAGGAAAAAAGGGATGTGCTGGCTGGGCTGGCCCAGGAAGGGGGCGGGCCCCAGGAAGAGGACAGCAGGTGCGAATGACCAGAGCCTGTTGCGTGTGTACCTTCCTGAGAACCGGCGCCGGGTCTCTCTCCTCTGAGTAAGCCTCCTGCTCACAGGCCGGCGTCTGCCAGGCTTCAGGAAAACAGCAGGGTGGTTAGGGGGGTGGGTGGAGGGGCGGCCTGAAGAGACAGGCTCAAGGGGGTTAATGTCACTGGGGACGGGGGGCAGGGGACTCCAGAACTGAAGCCACAGGAGCCCTCAGAGGGCAGCAGCTGGCACTGCCCAGGCCCTCTGGTGGAAGCTGGCATGCAGACCTCAGTCGCCAGTGAGGTGGCTGGATCCACAACCAGGTCTCCTCTGCAGTGCAAATGGGCAGAGAGCTGGTGCATGAGTGCGTGCGTGTGTGTGTGTGTTTGTGTGTGTGTGTGTGTGAGAGAGAGAGAGAGAGAGAGAGAGAGAGAGAGAGAAGAGGAGAAGGAGGAGAGCAGGAGGAGGGAAAGAGAAAGAGGCCAGGAGCTTTCTGGAGAAACTTCCCCCACCCCCAGCCCTGCCCTGAGAAGTAACCTGAAGCCAGGAGACAGACCGCCCAGCTGCAGAGAGCTGAGCACAGGCAGGTGGGTGCAGGTGGGTGCAGGCGCCGCTGACAGCTCTTTGCTTGCCCGTGGGAAGATGCAGCCATGGGGATGGCCCCGTTTTCCTGGATCTGGCTGGGCAAAGAGGAAGCAAATGTGGTTGCAGATCTCTGGCTATGGAGCTAGGGGCTTGGGGCTGTCTGGAGTAGCAGGGGTGGAGAAGTGGGAGCCCCAGGATAGTCCTGGCCAGGGCTCACTGGTGGCAGGCCCAGCACCTGCCACAGGCTGAGGGCTGCTCCTGTGCAGAGAACCTTCCAGCACTCTGGTCTGGGGAGAAAGCTGGAGGGGAGAGGGCTGGAGATCCCCGTTCCTGAGTTGGATGTGAGGTCAGCTGGGAGTCCTGGCAGGCTGCCCCACATGGACTCTGGTGGGTGATGGATGGATGACTTGACAGTAGAGAAAAAGGGCCGGCGCCGTGGCTCACTAGGCTAATCCTCCGCCTTGTGGTGCCAGCACACCGGGTTCTAGTCCCGGTCGGGGCACCGATTCTGTCCCGGTTGCCCCTCTTCCAGGCCAGCTCTCTGCTGTGGCCAGAGAGTGCAGTGGAGGATGACCCAAGTGCTTGGGCCCTGCACCCCATGGGAGACCAGGAGAAGTACCTGGCCCCAGCCATCGGATCAGCGCGGTGCGCCGGCCGCAGCGGCCATTGGAGGGTGAACCAATGGCAAAAGGAATACCTTTCTCTCTGTCTCTCTCTCTGTCCACTCTGCCTGCCCCCCCCCAAAAAAAAAAAAGAGAGAGAGAGAGAGAAAGTATTGGGGGTGATGGCTTCTGGGGAGGTGGGAAAAAACGCCCATTGGAGGAGCTCCCAGGACACTTAAAAACTTCATGAAAAATGGAATTAAAAGGGAGGTTTATTTTGGTGCAAAAATTTTGAAATTCATAAATAGTTTAGTAATATACATTTTCTATGAAGTTTTTGAAGACTCCTGTGCAATGGTAGGGGGCACCCAGTGTTCTTTAAAAAAAAAAAGAGTTATTTGAAAGGCAGAGTTGGGTTGGAGGGAGGGAGAGAGGGAGGGAGAGCGAGCGAGTGAGAGAGATCTTCCATCCCTTGGTTCACTCCCCAAACAGGCACAATGGCCGCAACAGCGAGGGCTGGGCCAGGCTGAAGCTAGAACCCCATGTGGGTCTCTCACATGAGTGGCGGGGACCCCACCACTTGAGCCATCTGCTGCCGCCCCCGGAGCACTAGAGAGCTGGATGGGAAGTGGAGCAGCCTGGGCTGGAACCGGCACTCATATGGGACGCTGGCGTCGCAGGCAGCAGCTTAACCGGCTGCACCACGGTGCTGGCCCCTTCAGAGTGGGGTTCTGATGGGAGGCGCATGAGAAGTGGGGTGATTGGCGATGACTCTGCTTTGAAGATAAGGTGAACAAGGGGACTGTGTGCAGAAGGCATGGCTGGGAACCAAGGCAAGCACCTGGTTCTGCCGGAAATGCTTTCCTGAGCACAAACAGTTGTGCAACTTCATTGGACACCTGCACCAGGTCACGGGGCGGCCCCAGCCCTCCACCGGACATTCCTATGGTCTGCCTGGTTGGGGTTGCCAGGCTGAGCTGGCATCTCCCCAAAGGGGAAAAGGACATTGGCTCTGTGGTTATTGTTATGGTAGCCCCCTGCCCCTCTCCCAGTGGCTTTGGGTGGGGGACGACAGTTCTGTTGGCCTACGCCGTGTTGCACCGGGGCCCGCCTGCTTCCAGGACGTGCGGAAGGGGAGGCCGGCAGGCACCAGGCATCCGGGTGGCAGGAGCCCTGGCCTGCCGTGGGGACCCTGCACAGGTGTCACTTTGTGCTTGCCTTCGGCGCAGTGACTCTGCACAGATGGGGTAGGCGCTTCTATGCCAACACGTGGGGAGAGACACAGCTCGGCGCGGCTTCGTTTCTTTCCTAAATACCTATTCAGTGCGTGTGCGGTCTTACGGAGGAGTCCTTACCAGAACTGTGGTGTCAGTAAGCCCTCGGTGGCAGCTCTGGGTGGATCCAGGAGGTGGAGGAGCACCGACCCGCAGTCAGACACCCAACTAGGCACCGCGCAGGCCGGCCAGCGAGCTTGGCCCCAGCGCCTCCATGGGCAGCTTCCAGTCTGCCGCATTCATAGGCAGGCTTCAGACACCACTCAGCGCAGCTTCCATTCTGGCAGTAAATTCCCTTCCGAATCCTTTTGCACAAATGCATATTAAAAAGGATTTGCATTCTCAGCACAAGTTGGAGGCGTGATGGAGGGGGCATGCCCGTCTGGCGGTTCGCGGGACCCGGAGGTGATTGACAGGGTGGGCTGAGCTGCCAGCTGTGGCTACCGGCTGTCATCCTATCATCAAGCCAACCCCCCGAAGCCCACTCAGTAGCCACGAGACTGTCCCTGTTTCACAGAGGGGTAAACCGAGGCACTGTTTCCGTGGCTAGGGTCCCAGCCGCCTTTCTCAGGAGAGACCACAGGACGGGGCTGGACTCCGGGAGGCAGCAGGGTGGGGGGCTGGGGCGACAAGGCGAGGCGGCGCCCCGGCAGTCGGAGGCTCGGGCTGCAGCCGCAGGGTGGCGGTGGGGGTGGCGGGCCCTCACGCGCCAAGAAAAGCCCGCCAACCCCTCGCGGCTGGTGTGGAAACCGCCGTTCTCTCCCGGGTGGGGGCCAGCGGCGGAGCACGGGTTCACGGAGAGAGACGGCGGCAAGGCCTGGCGTTCCCGGCTCGCTCGCGTCCCTTCGAGGGAGCACCGCGACGCCCCTCAGCCTCCCGGCAGCCCGGCGACCGGCCACGCCTCACGGGGCCGCCAGCTTCGCAGCCGAGCGAGGAAGGGGGCGGGGCCTGCGCTCGCCCAATCCCCGGCTTTCCCCGCCCCCGCCACGCCCTCCGCCTCCTCTCGGCCAATCGAGCCCCGCGGTGGGCGGTCCCCGTTTCGGCCGCCGTTCCCGGGTGCGGTTTTTTTTCTCCTCCCTCCTTTTTTCCTCCTGCCTTTTTTTTTTTTTTAATCCCCTTTGCTTTTTTTTTTTTTTTTTTGTGAATGAAAAGCGGAGGTCGCCAGCGGTCCCGAGGACTGCGGCGCCCGGGCGTCCCGGCGGCGGCGCGGCCCCGCGCAGCTCCCGGAGCCTCCATGACATTGGGCGCCCGCGGCGGGCGGGGATGCTGATCCGGAAGAGGCCGTGGCCGCAGTGCCGCGCGCGCGGCCGCACGCTGCCCGCCGTCCGGCCCGGGCCGCGCCGCCCGAGGTCCTGACGGAACGCTAGCTGCAGCGCGGCGCCGGCGTCGTCCCCGCTCGCCCGCGGCGGGACCCCCGCACCCACTACCATGAGCGCGCCCGGCGGGCGGAGAGGTGCTCCTTGCGCTAGCTGTCGGCCCGTCCCGTGGAGAGCTGTGAGTAGCCGCGCCCGGCCTGTCCTCGCGGCCCTGCCGGCTCCCCGGGCCTCGGCGGGTCGCGCCCCGCCCCTGCCCCTCCCCCCATTGGTTCCTTTGCTCGTGTGCGTGTCGGGTGGGGGGTTGGCAGGTCCCGAGTGGGGCAGGTGTTTCCGTTGTGTGTGTGTGTGGTGTGTTTAAAGCCGTGGGATCCGGGCGTTTTGCTCGCGGCTCTGTGGATGCCTCCTTGAACTCAGCTCCACCATTGCAGCGTGGAGGGGCCTGCATGCTGGCACACCCGGGGTGGGGGCGTCCTCGGCGTCGTGGGCTTGTGTTCCCGCTCCTGGGGTTGCAGAAGGCTTAGTGCGGTGTCTGGCCTTGCGTTTTTGTTAATAGGACCGATCGCCATCCCCCAGGGCCTTGCTTCCCCACTGGATCCGCGCGGGATCCCGGCTCCCACGAAGGCAGCGACCCCAGCGGGGAGCCTGCCTTAGTTCCGAGTCCACCCTGGCTTTGCTCTGCTTTTGCGTCTTCCTTGATTTTTACCGTCATTTCCCGGCTTTTCCTCCCTTTCACGTTTCTGTGAGATGCAGGATGTGGGGTATTGGTTGCTAGGAGACCAGCCTGGCTCCCAGGGAGATTCTGTGGTTTCCTTGACAACCAGACTAGGGCAGCCGCAGATGAACCAGCCTCCCATCCTGCTGTGGGAGGGAAAGGGGGCCTTTTCCGAGCTCCGCAGAGCGTGTGTAGGGGTGTGGGGGTGGCAGTGGGAGCCTGCGAGGTCTGTAGCTAATCCGAGCACACCCCGGGGTTTGGCCTGGGCTGGCAAGGAGCCGGCAGCACAGCAGCTGGGCAGGGATGGGACAGGGGTGACGAGAGCAGGTACCGGCGGCTTTGGGATTGTTGCAGGAGAGGAGTAGCTTTGGGGTCCTGGGGCCCAGGGCGGGGCCGCAGGGAAACCATTGTTTGTGCAGGTTCAGGCGGAAGCGGGAGGAGGCAATTGTGAGGAAAAGTCTAGAGTCATGGGAGGGGAGCCTGCCAGAGGGAAGGAGGGAATTGGGTGGCTCGCCGGGGGGTTGTATCGTCGTGGGTGCATCAGCCGTGACCGGGGAAAGTTGCACTATTCCAGGGCAAAAATTACGCTCCTGTTGGCACACCCTCTGCAGGACGGGATCCTCGCTGTGCACAGCCATGATGAGACCAAGAGTTCTGCGGGCTGAATGGGGCCAGCCTGCATCGCAAAGACAGATATAATTATACATATAGATATGCAATCTAGCGTTATATAATACTGCATTGCATAAGAAGGCAAATGCCTCCTTTCAGCCCAGGCCCTCTTGGCACGAACTCTCTGAGATCTGGGTGACTTTTCATCCAGCAGACACATACCCATTTTCCAGAGGGGACAGACTGTGCCTAGAAAAGTGAAGCATGTTGCCCTTTCCCGGACAGGACGGTGCAGGTCGCCAGTCGGGCACTGGGACAGAGGCGGTGGGCGAGCATGATAGAAATAGGCAAAGGACACACAGGGGTGGGGGAGGCTGGAGGGGCACGGAGCTGGGTGGTGCTCTAGCGGGTCTGGTGTTAGCATTCACGGCTGGGTATTGGCTGCTATCCTGCTTGTTGGTTATCTGTGCCCTCCTTCACCCTGGAGGTGACCCAACGCAAGGTATGCATGAGCGTTTCGAGCGTGCAGTCGCTGAACTTGAACCAGCACTGCTCTGCTGTGTCCCGGCATCGTCCCCGCTTTCTGGAAGCTCCTGGACTGGGAGCTGATGGCCCACTTCAGGGCTCCTCACCCCCTGCCGGAACCTAGACTTGAAAAAGAAGTTCTGCTGCGCAGCTCATTTGTGTCTTTCTCCTGCGGCTGCACGTGCTGCGGAGCTGGGGTTGGGTTGTGTTACTCCCCCGGCACAACAGAAACCACAGCCCAGGTGACTGCTCCTGGCACGGGCACATCCCTCAGGAAGTGCCCAGGTGGGGTTCCCTGCTTGGTCCTCAGCTCAGGCGGGAGAAGAGGGAGGAGCAGCGGCTGCAGGGGGAGTGATGCAGCCAGTTGCCCTGGAGACCAGGGCGGGGGAGGTGCTTCCAGGAGACCCCTTGTTGCCTAAGAGCCCAGATTGTGGGCCCTCTCAGCAAGGGGACCTGGCCGCGCTCTCTGCCTGCCTCGCTGAGATGCGTCCGTGGCCATCGTGGCCACCCTGACTTGGATCCTTGGGCTGGTTCTGCATTCCTGCATGCTGGCATCGAGTTACAGCCTGGCGGGAAGGGAGGGAGCATCTGTCCTGCTGCTGGGGGCCTGGGCGACTCCAGGACTCCTCTGGGCTCAGGCTGCCTGGGCCTGGGCAGGGTGACTCTCGGTTCTGTGGCCCCCACACTCGGAGCACACGAGCAGGCAGGTGCAAGGCCTCGGAGAAACCAGGCTTCCCTCTAACGCCTGCCCCACCCCTCCTTTCCACCTGCGCCCCTCAACCCTTCCAGGAGGGTGGGTGCCAACTGCAAGGCTGCCAGCGAAAGGCCCCACAGGCCCAGGGCCTCCTGGTGGCGGCTTTTTTAAACACTGACGTGACATTTTGACTACAGAGGGCCTTCTGTTTGCTCCCCCAAGCCATCCCTGTCTGCGGGTGGACATGTTCCTTCCTCCCTCTCTGCCCTCAATAGAGGGAAACTGAGGCAAGCACTTGGCCCCCTAGTTTTTGATCCTCTGCTCCCTCCAGGAACCTTACTCACCTTATGGCCAATTTAATGAGCCTCTCCCGGGAGAGCCAGCCCTCTGGGGTCTGCCAGCGGAGAATCCTCCTGGCTGGGAATGGGGTGTGCAGGAGCAGGGACTGCCCCCAGTGGGTGACGGGAAGGCCCGCGGGCCATGGGCTGTGTGGTCACAGGTTACCCCCTCCAATGTCTCAAAGCTGGGCCCACAGCGGAGCAAGACAGGCGGGCAGCAGGAGACTCGGTCAGGGATGGGAGGCCCGTGGGCTGGTCAGGTGCATCTGAAACCTCCTGTCCAGAGAGGCTGCCAGGGAAGCTCTAGTGTGTGCATAAAGGGGGCTGCGGGTGGGGGTGAGGGACAGACTGCGCGGGCTGGAGCTAGGAAGCCCACCACGAGGAGAGGAGAGCAGAGCTGCCGCCTGGCCAGGACAAGGCCATTAGATTTTAAAGGGGCCCTGCCTCGGGTTTGCTGGGAAGGGGTGGGACCTGGCCCCAGCTCTGCCTCTCTCAGCTGTTTGTGGTGCTGCCACAGCCCTGCCAAGCAAGGAGAGCAGATGATGAGTGGCTTCCCAGGCAGCTTCCTGTCTCCGGGGCAGCACGCACAGGACAGGCCCTGGCCCCTCTCACAGGCTTCTTCCTCCCAGAAACCCAGCTGGGGGCTGCCGGGCACAGGAGGGACACACGTGCTCCTTCCTCTCCTGTCTGGCCGGGCTCTGTCTCCTGCAGAGCCGCTCTGCCCCGGAAGTCGCTTGCTCCCTGCTCCTGTAGCTCCAGCGCCTGGCCCTCAGGGGGCTGGCACGCCAGGCTGTCCCGACCGCCTCCCTCTGCCCCAGCAGGTCCCAATTAATGGATTCTGACATGGATTATGAAAGGCCAAACGTAGAGACCATCAAGTGCGTGGTGGTGGGCGACAACGCCGTGGGCAAGACCAGGCTCATCTGTGCCCGGGCCTGCAATGCCACCCTCACCCAGTACCAGCTGCTCGCCACCCACGTGCCCACCGTTTGGGCCATCGACCAGTACCGCGTGTGCCAGGAGGTAAGGCTGCATCTGGGTTCTTCTGGATGTCTCCAGAGCTCACGGAGGGCCCCTAGGGGCGGGGCGGGGCGGGGCGGGGCGGGGTGGGGGCAGCTGAAGAGGAAAGAGTCCACTCAGACCGATTGGGTGTTCAGTGGCACAGCCGGCTTTGGCTGGAGTTCATCACAGCCCCTAGTAAGTAAGGACCCCCGGGGGGCTCAGGGGCGGGAAGAAGCTGGCTGCTAACAGCCAAGATCAGAGGCCATCAGACACATGCGTCACGCAAGGGAAGCTGGGAGCTCTGCGGGGTGGACTCTGAAGAGATCCCTTCTGCCCTGGTCCCAGCCTGCCCTCCCGGGCACACAATAGGAGACCCTGGCCCTGTCCCTCCAACCCCCATTGCTTCCTGGGAGCTGCAAGGTTGTGGGGGGAGGGTATCCCAAGAACCAAGGCCCTTGCTTCCCGTGCCCCTCCCCCCAGGTGCTGGAACGCTCCCGAGACGTGGTAGATGACGTCAGCGTCTCCTTGCGCCTCTGGGACACCTTTGGAGACCACCACAAAGACCGCCGCTTTGCGTATGGGAGGTAGGGGAGGCCCTGGCAGCCTGCAGGGAGCCCGGGTGGGGGTTCCCTCTGCTGGGAAGCAGAGTGGGGACAAAGGCACCGCAGGCCCTCACGAGGGCCGGGGGCAGCCTAGGGCAGTGGAAGTAGCCTGGGCGTGCAGTCAGCAGGCCAGGCCTGGCCTGACTCCTAGTTCTGCCACCCCGAGCTCTAAGATGATTTTCTTGGCTGTGAGAGGGTAAAAATGGTCGTTTCTAGCTTACGAGGCAGCTGTGAGGCCAAGAGCTCTGAAACAGGTCCCGCCTCTCTGCGCTGTGTGTGAGGTGGAGGGGCAGGTCCCCGGGGACCGAATGTGGGACTGCAGTGCGGGAGTGGGGATACACAGGTGACCTCGCCCCATAACCGCACCATCTGCCCCCCTCCCCTGCCAGATCCGACGTGGTGGTTCTGTGCTTCTCCATCGCCAACCCCAACTCCCTCCACCATGTCAAGACCATGTGGTACCCAGAAATCAAGCACTTCTGCCCTCGGGCACCTGTCATCCTGGTGGGCTGCCAGCTGGACCTGCGCTACGCCGACCTGGAGGCCGTCAACAGGGCCCGGCGACCCCTGGCCAGGTAGAGGCTCGAGTGCCTGGGGCGGGGGCAGATGGAGGCCCCAGGAGCCAGCAGGTCACCGGGACTGCCTGCTCGGCCCTGGGGGAGTCCCACGGAGCTGTCCTTCTGTCCCCCCAGGCTCACGTTGGGGGCCAAGGAGCTTGCTCATTCGTTCTGTCACTCACTGATTCATGTGTGCATTGCACTCTGGGCATGCGGGGAGTACTGTGCTGAGCTCTGGGAGGAAAGACACGGGAAGGAACAGTTTTACTGGAGATGAGCCCTCCCTGGGTGCCACAGCTGGGCACTCAAGTGGTGATTTGGGAACAAAAACGGCATCTGTGCTGAACAGGTGCAGAAGTATTTTTTCTTGTCCTTATTCCCTGAACAACATGGTGCAACAGTTCTTTACGTAGCATTTACACTCGCATTAGGTATTAGAAGCCATCTAGAGAGGATCAAAGGATATGGGAGGAAGTAGCATAGGTTCTACACAAACACTACCTCCTTTCCTGTAAGACACTTGAACATCATGGCTTTTGGTTTCCAAGGGGGTCCTGGAACCAATCCCGTGTGGATATCGGGCACCCACCTCCCAAGCAATGGAGCATTGCCCCTTTTAAGTGCCGGAGAAGGGGGAGGTGGCTGGGGCCTGACTTAGTTAGGAAACGCCTCCCGGCAGCAGCAGGTCTGTGTCCTGTGCAGGGTCCCTGCAGCCCAGAGGAGAAGGGGCAGGCTCGCTGCCTCGCCGGCCCGAGTTTGATTTCCCTTCCTGAACTTCCCAGGCCCATCAAGCCCAATGAGATCCTCCCCCCGGAGAAGGGGCGGGAGGTGGCCAAGGAGCTGGGCATCCCCTACTACGAGACCAGCGTGGTGGCCCAGTTTGGCATCAAGGACGTCTTTGACAACGCCATCCGGGCCGCGCTCATCTCGCGCCGCCACCTGCAGTTCTGGAAGTCCCACCTCCGCAACGTGCAGCGGCCTCTGCTGCAGGCGCCCTTCCTGCCCCCCAAGCCGCCGCCCCCCATCATCGTGGTGCCCGACCCCCCGTCCAGCAGCGAGGAGTGCCCCGCCCACCTCCTGGAGGACCCGCTCTGCGCGGACGTCATCCTGGTGCTGCAGGAGCGAGTGCGCATCTTTGCCCACAAGATCTACCTCTCCACCTCCTCCTCCAAGTTCTACGACCTGTTCCTCATGGACCTGAGTGAGGGGGAGCTGGGGGGCCCCTCAGGGCCAGGCGGCCCCCGCCCGGAGGACCCCCGGGGCCACCCCGAGCCACACCACCACCACCACCACCACCACCACGGGCGGGACTTCCTGCTGCGGGCAGCCAGCTTTGACGTGTGTGAGAGCGTGGACGAGGCCGGGGGCTCGGGTCCTGGCGGCCTGCGGGCCTCCACCAGCGACGGGATCTTACGGGGCAACGGGACAGAGTACCTGCCGGGCAGGGGTCGCGTGCTGTCCTCCTGGAGCCGGGCTTTCGTGAGCATCCAGGAGGAGATGGCAGAAGACCCTCTGACCTTCAAGTCGCGGCTGATGGTGGTGGTGAAGATGGACAGCTCCATCCAGCCGGGGCCCTTCCGGGCCGTCCTCAAGTACCTGTACACCGGGGAGCTGGGCGAGAACGAGCGGGACCTCCTGCACATCGCCCACATCGCCGAGCTGCTGGAGGTCTTCGATCTGCGCATGATGGTGGCCAACATCCTCAACAACGAGGCCTTCATGAACCAGGAGATCACCAAGGCCTTCCACGTGCGCCGCACCAACCGGGTCAAGGAGTGCTTGGCCAAGGGCACCTTCTCAGGTAGGCTGCGTGCTTCCTGAGGGGGTCTGGGTTGGCCCCTGTCACCCTGGAGATGTGGCCGCCACGCTCCTGGCTGACAGCTGGGTCGTTGAGGCCTCTGCGTCTTGTGGCTTCGGGTTGGGGGTGGGGGGGAGGGAGGGGGCTCTTCTGGGCCCAGTGACGACTCCTCGGGCCGCTCACCCCGTGTCCGTGCCCTGTCACCGCGTCCGCACGTGATGCCTCTTCGTATCCCTGGGCAGACGTGACCTTCATCCTGGACGACGGCACCATCAGCGCCCACAAGCCCCTGTTGATCTCCAGCTGTGACTGGATGGCTGCCATGTTCGGGGGCCCGTTCGTGGAGAGTTCCACCAGGGAGGTGAGGCTGAGGGGAGGGCGGGGAGGGTGAGAGCCGTCTGCGCCCCTTGTTCCTGAGCCACCACCATTTCAGAGTAGTCCCTCCAGCACCGTGTGCTGACGACAGGATGATGGGCCCAGGAGAAGTCCCTGGGGTGGTTCTCGTAGCCAAGGATTTGACGGTAAACCAGGAGAGAATTACAGTGACAGTTCTACTTGGTAGCGCGGGCAACACTGTCAGCGCATGATCCCAATGAATTCCCGCGTGGCCCCTGCACGCAGCGTGGTATTCCCACGTTACGGATCCAAAAGGGAGGCCCCGAGAAGTGAAGAGGCCTGCCCGAGGTTGCATAAGCAGGAAGCAGAGGTTAGGACTTGAACTTGAGACTTCCGATTCCTTGACTGCGAATGTTGTATCTTGCTACCTCCCTGGCACATGTGAAATAACGGGGAAGAAAAAAAACCTCCGTGTATCCCATGCTGAGGCCATCACTGTTTTAGAAAGTTTTATTATTGAGGTGTGAGGCCAGCGATGGGGAGGTGAATGCCATTGGGAGGATAGTTTGTTACTCACAGATCCCAAGAGGAGGGGGTGTGCACCCCGGGGGGTACCCAGGCTTGGGGTTGGCGGTGTGAGTGGTGTCAGCGGGCCCTGGGGTGGAGGGGCTGACCCAGTTGTCTGGTCCCTGGCCTTGGGGTGGCCTTGGGAGCCTAGGACAGGTGGACAGTGGCCTGGAGTGTGAGTGTCTGATGGAGGAGGCAGGGGTTGGGGTTGTGGGCTCTGCACGAGTTGACGTGCACACAAAGGCATCCTTGCAAAGCATGCTGTTTCCTAGCTTCAGGAACTGGCCGGCCCTGGGAGGGGGCCATCCCTCCAGGGTCAGCAAGCCTCCAAGATGCCAAAGCGTCCAAATACAGAGAAGAGGGGTGGGCATTTGTGCAGTGCGTACGATGCCGCTTGGGATGCCTGTGTCGCACACTGAGTACCCGCACTTGAGTCCCGCTCTGCTCCCCACTCTAGCTTCCTGCTAGTGCACACCCTGGGAGGCAGCAGGCGATGGCTCGAGTCCGTGGCCCCCTGCCACCCACCCGGGAGACCTGAGTTGAGTTCCTGGCTCCCAGCTTTTAGCTGACCCGGCGCTGGCACTTGTGGGCAGTTAGAGGAGTGCACCAGCAGAGGGGAGCTCTTTCTGTCTCTGTCTTTCTCTCTGCCTATCAAATATGAAAAGGCTAAATACATTTTTAAGTGCAAGAAATAAAAAGACATGCTGGACATCGTTGCCTTCCCATCTACTCCATGCCCCTCTAGCTCATCGGTTCCGTCCACTGCGTCCTTGGGGGCCCAGGATGGAAATGTAAGAGTTAGGAGGAGCCTCTTGAGTGTGTTCTGTCTCTTCCATCCTCTCGGCCAAGCCCAGTAGCCCAGGCCTTGTTCCCGTCATCCTCTCTAGGCTCCCAGAACATTCCTTGCCCGTCATACAGCCTGTGGTTAGCCAGGCACCGCCCTGTGCACATGCACCAGGTTCTGGGTTTTCCGCACTGGCCTGCGGCTGCTTTTGAGTGCAGAGACTGCCACGTACCCGGCTTGGCTAAGCCGGATGCAAGCTGAGCTAGGCCTGCCGAGCCTCTTGTCCTGTGATGCAGAGTTAGGGGTGCCCCCAAGATTCCTGGGCGGGAAGTCCTCCCGAAGGCTGGGCGGAAGGGTGGAGGTTTGAGTTGGCCTCCAGAGTGGCAGCGGTGGTGGGATTTGGGTATGCACAGCGTGGGGACTGGCGAGCCCGCCCCCTCCCAGGGCCTGCTGGCTCGCTGCGCTGCTCGGCGCCGCCTGTGCCAGCTTTGAACTCCAGCCGGTTCCCAGAGCGTGGCCCGGAGAGACCAGACGTGTGCTTGATGAGAAAGCAGTTTTTGTTGCAGTGCTGCCCTGGAGAGGTCCCGGAGGCCCAGAGCAGCAGCGCGGAGCAGCCGGAGGGAGGCCAGCTGGTGCCCGCTCGGCTTGCTCCCCTCCTGCTTCTGTGCGGCGCGGGAGGGCTGCGGGTGCGAGCCGCGGAGACAGCTCCTCCAAGCATCCTCTGTGCCAGAATGGCTTCCAAAGGATGCTGCCGAGAATCCAGTCCCTTTATTTATTTTTTAAATAAATCATATTTTTATGTAACTTTAGATTTATTTACTTACTTGGAAGGCAGAGTTAGAGAGAGAGAGACAAAGATCAATTTTCCATCCACTGGTTCACTCCCAAATGGCTGCAGCAGCTGGGTGTGGGCCAGGCCAAAGCCAGGAACTTGAAACCCGATCCGGGTCTCCTGCGTGGGTGGCAGGGCCCCAAGCACTTGGGCTATCCTCTGACTTTCTCAAGCCCCTCAGCAGGGAACTGGGTAGGAAGTGGAGCCACTGGGACTGGAACCAGTGTTCCTGTGGGATGCCGGCCTCGTCAGTGCGTGAGGCCAGCCCCCACCAGGCCCGTTCCAAAGTTGTTCGAGCCGTCTGCAGTGGTGACATCTGCCGAGTGGTGCACTTGTGGCTCGGGGGGCCAGGCCTTTGGGGAGGTGCAGCCCAGGGCTGCGCAGGCCAGGCCCTTCCGGTTGCTCCCTGAGCTGCACCCCACGGTGGCCTGCTCTCCGGCCCGCCCCTCCAGGTGGTGTTTCCCTACACCAGCAAGAGCTGCATGCGGGCGGTGCTGGAATACCTGTACACGGGCATGTTCACGTCCACCCCCGACCTGGACGACATGAAGCTCATCATCCTGGCCAACCGCCTCTGCCTGCCGCACTTGGTCGCCCTCACAGGTAAACTACCCGGCTGCGCAGGGCCGCCCCCGGGCAGGCGCCAGGAGGGGGGAGCCCCGGCCACGGCTTCTGTGTTCTCTCACCTGGCTCCTGCGAGGACTCGGGCTGTGGCGCCAGGGGAGGAGCCTACCTAACTGACATCAGTGGCTTCTGCCGGTGGGTACGGAGTTTTGCGTTAGGACACAGATGTGAGGAAGTGTGTGTGTGACAGAGGTGTCTCAGGTCACCGAGGGCGGCGCTGGGGCACGGCCAGCCCGCAGCTGTATGAGGCCCTGCCGAGGCCGCCGCAGGTCGGACTCGAAATTCGCTAAATCCGCGGCAGCCTGATGTTTCAGTTGATGTTGTATGGCCCACGAACGATGGCCATGGCAGAAAAAAAGGTTCCCCAGCCCTGCCTTCTGGCCTCTCTCCTGGGGTATCGCCTCCCGACAGAGTGGGCTCTGGTGGGTGCTGGGACATCGTGTTCTTAGCCTGGCTTCACCCGGGCAGGCTTTGGTTACAAAATGGACTCGGCCCCACGTCCTCTTCCTTCTCCCCCTCCCCTTCCTCCTCCTCAACCTCGCCCCCCACCCCATTCTCTGCTATCTCCTCCTCTGCTTTTTCTCTTCTGCCTCTCCCTTTCACGTCACTTTCTCTTCTTTCAGAACCAGAAAGCAAAGGTTGAGCCACGCCTAAAGCTTAAAAGGTTGTCTCCCCATGCAGTTGGTTTGCTGGAAACAGTCCCCCACGATAGGAAGGAGAGCTCAGCGTGTAGACTGGATCTGTCCTGGAGGCCCGGTGGGCGGAGCCAGACTGAGGAGATGGGGAGACCAAGGGGCAGGCAGTCTGGGTCCTGGGCCTGATGCAGGGAGTGTGGGGCCGGAGCCCCAGGCAGGCTGGTGGCTTCCCTTGAAGTTGGTCTTGGCATTGGCATGAGTGCTGGTGTTGATGGTGACGTTAGTAGTCCTGGCTGGGTCACAGGGGCGGAGGGCAGAGCCTCAGAGGCTGCGCCGAGGTTCGGGCAAGGACCCAGCATCAGAGGTGGTAGGCCTGGGGCAGATGGTCAAGACTGGGGCTCGGGTATATGGGGAGACAGCAATCCAGTGACGAGACGTGCGTGGTGGGGTGGGGCGGGGGGGCATGGTCACAAGAAGGAGGCAGACATCAGTGATCAGAACCAGTGAGCCCACGGAGGGGCTCAGGGGCCCCAGCTGGTGGGCAGCAGGAGCTTGAGGGCAGGAAGCAGGAGGGGCTATAACTCTGCCTCGGCCATTGCTGTCCACCAAGCCTGGTGTGGCCTGTCCAGTGCACGTAAACTTCAAATTCGTAGATGGAGTAGTTCTGCTTAAAAAAGAAAGGAAACAACCATTTCCAAAGAAACGACCCAAAGGAAACAAAGGCATAAAGTCATCTCTCTAAGTTGATTCACCCTGGCAGAGGGTTGCAGACAACCATGGGTTGAGTGCACACAGGTAGCTACCATGAAATATTAAACTGTTCTGTTCCATGCAGGGGTACCTAGAAAATAGCATTGCCCTCAAGGTGGTCCCTGCACACCAGAGAGCTTACACAGAAGTCTGACCATCTCCCTGTGAAGGCCCGGTGAGGTCAGCTTCCTACCAAGTACAACACAAGTACAGAAAACGACATGCAAACCATGTCAGAACTAGACCCTGGCCGGCCACACAGTCCCCACTTGTCCCTCCCAGGCTGCGATTCTGGCCCCCACTCCTGCCCCCGGGAGAACCTCCAGGGCCCAGTATTCTTTCTGGAGTATTTTTTATGGACTTCTTTCCTGCCTGTCCTTAGTCACTTCATCATCCACACGTGCGCCCTCACACACTAGAGCACGGTTTTATGTATGTCTTTTATGTCTCTCTCAATCCATGGCTACCTTGTCCGCTTAAAAACTTTTTCTCGCCATGCAATTTATTTGCTGGAAAAAAACAAATACTGGCCTGCTCCTGCCGAGTCTCCCATGATTTGGCTCTGTGTGGTCTGCGTTCCTCCAGTGTAGTTCGCCCTGGGCCCCTGTCCGCCATGTTCCCTGTGCCCTGTGTTTGGGACCAGAGGCGAGGTGAGGTGTGAGTTTTCTTCCATAAGGCGCCTGCGTGGGTTGTTTCTCTTCTTTAGCAAGCTGCACGGCTCGTCTGCTTGTCCTTCGTTCCGTGCCGTGAGCAGCTGTCGAGGATCATTGGTTTACGCAGTGTTGATGATAATAAGATTCCCAGTCCAGTCTCCCTTTCTCATTTACCTGTCGGGCCAGTTCTAGAGAGAGAACTTGCCCTGAACTGCCGTTGGGTCGCGGAGTGGTTCGGTTCATGTAGGAAAGAAAGGTGAACGCAAGGCTTCCCTTTGATTTAGCATCTCCGAGTAAACTGGCCTCCTCCTAGCTTTGGAGGGCGAACAGGTTGTGTTTTAATAGTGGCTGTTTAGGAACTTTCGATGTGGGCAGGCCTCAGGGGGCCGCGCTAGCTGCAGCCAGCCTGCTTCTCCCCAGCAGGGTCTGAGCGGCCGCCTCGCCGCTGCGTGGGCTGACGAGATGTCCTGGGGTCCCGTTGGCCGTCTCAGGCCCCAGACTCGGAAGTCCTGCCGTCTTGCGGTTGGGAATGGAAGCTGCAGCTCCATCCAGTGGGAATTCTCATGGCTACCGGGATGCCTCTTGTGTTCTAGGTCATTTTCATGGACAGGGATGGGAAATACAAGGGTGCTTCAAAAAGTTTATGGAAAATGGGATTAGAAAAAAAATGCATGCACAATTTTTTTGAATCAAAATAAACATCTTTTATTTTTCTACAGACTTTTTAACTTAATATTTATTTTTGAAACTATGTTTTTTATCTACATTATAGACAAAGGCCTAATGCTTACTAAATAAAGAGTTCAACAAATAAACAGTAAAAAGGCTGGCACTGTGACATAGCAGGTAAAGCCACTGCCTGTGGTGCTGGCACCCCTTATGGGCGCCGGTTTGAGTCCTGGCTGCTCCACTTCCAGTCAAGCTCCCTGCTAATGTGCCTGGGAAAGCAGAGGGAGATGGCTCAAAAGCGTGGGCCTCTACACCCACATGGGAGACCCAGAACTGTTTCCTGGCTTTGGACTGGCCCAGCTCTGGCTATTGTGGTCATTTGGGGAGTGAACCAGTAGATGGAAGATCTCTCCCTCTCTCCCTCTGTTTCTCTGTAACTCTGCCTTTCAAGTAAATAAATAAATCTTAAAAAAAAAAAAAAGTAAAAAGACCATGGTTCATCAGGTAAATAGGCAAGGGCTATGAACAGTAATCAAATGAAAAACTGTTAAACTTCACCGATAAAGTAAATTTTAAAATAGTCACAAAATCATGAAAACTATCCAAATTTTTGGAACTTCCCTCATATTTATCTTTTTTTAAAAATTTTATTTTATTTACTTGAAAGTCAGAGTTACACAGAGAGAGAAGGAGAGGCTGAGAGAGAGAGAGAGAGGTCTTCCATCCGCTGGTTCACTCCCCAGTTGGCCGCAATGGCCGGAGCTGCGCCAATCCAAAGCCAGGAGCTTCTGGGTCTCCCACGTGGGTACAAGGGTCCAAGGGCTTGGGCCATCTTCTACTGCTTTCCCAGGCCATAGCAGAGAGCTGGATCAGAAGAGGAGTAACCAGGATCCGAAACGGCGCCCATATGGGATGCTGGCACTGCAGGTGGTGGCTTTACCTGTTATGTCACAGCGCCCACCCCATATTTATCTTTTAAAAGAGAAAATACCTCATGAGTTTATATTTGGTACTTCTAATTAAAATTCAGGACCAAGAGTGTTTCTTCAGTGTCAGTGTTATGAAATAAAATGCAAGGTGAGTACACAAATTGTGACAAAATTTAGATTAATCCAGGGGCCAACATTGTGGCATGGTGGGTAAAGCCACCACCTGCAACACTGACATCCAGAATGGGTGCTGGTTCATGTCCTAGCTGCTTTACTTCTGGTTTTTGTTTGTTTGTTTAAGATTTATTTATTCGAAAGGGAGAGAGAGAGAGAGAGAGAGAGAGAGAGAGAGAGAAATCTTCCATATGCTGGTTCACTCTCCAAATGACTGCAATGGCCAGAACTGGGCCTATCTGAAGCCAGGAGCCAGGACCTTCCTCCGGTCTCCCACATTGGATCAGGGGCCCAAGCACTTGGGCCAGCACTCTGCCACTTTCCCAGGCCACTAGCAAGGAGCTGGAGTGGAAGTGGAGCAGCCAGGACTTGAGCTGGTCCCCATATGGGATGCCGGTGCTGCAGGTGGCGGGCCCCTGCTCTACTTCCAGTCCAGCTCCCTGTTAGTGAGCTGGGAAAGGAGTAGAAGATAGCCTAAATGGGAGATCCGGAGGAAGTCCTGGCTGTGGCCTGGCCCAGCGCTGGCCATTGTAGCCATCAGGGGATGGAAGATCTCTATCTCTTTGTCTATCCCTTACTCTCCGTTAACTCTTTTAAGTGGATGGATACATCTTTAAAAAAAGAAAGAAAGAAAGAAAGAAAGAAAGAAAGAAAGAAAGAAAGAAAGAAAGAAAGAAAGAAAGAAAGAAAGAAAGAAATCTAAACAGGTAGGTTGAGCCCACATCCTCAGCCTTTCTTCCACTTCCCACACATGGAAGACCAAGCACTGCCTTCCGTCTGCTGCGGCTGCTTCTGCTGGAGCGTTCACCCGTGCGTCTCGGCCAGCGGGCAGAACACGGGTGTGTGTGCATCGAAGTAACGCTTACCCGCTCCTGCTGTTTTCCACGAACTTTGGGAGGCACCCTTGTCTGTAGTTTCAGAAATCCTCCTCGAGGCTCCCCTTCCCACGCCCACCCCCCTGCCGCGCACTGAGAACATCTTGCTCTGAGCTCTGCCTGGCCTGTCGGGCTCGCTCCTGGGCCTGCAGTGCCCCCTGCTGGGGGCGGGAGGGGTTGCAGGGCCAGTCCTGATTGCCAACCGCTGGCTGTGTGTGTCACAGAGCAGTACACCGTGACCGGGCTGATGGAAGCCACCCAGATGATGGTGGACATCGATGGAGACGTCCTGGTGTTCCTGGAGCTGGCTCAGGTACCGTGGTGGGAAGGGGTCGGCCACATCGTCCACTCTAGGCTCTGCCTGCTGATGCGGGTGACGGGGGAGGGCTGGAGGGAGGTGGGGGCTGGGGAGGAAGGGTCCTGCTTGTCAGACTTGGCTCCCTGGTTGGGTGGAGCCCATCGCATCCCCGACTCCCCCAGGGCAGAGCTGCTGGTGGATACTTTAGCCCACCATAGGGCAGGGGCTCGGGGGACCCTGGTTTCTCCCATAGACAAGTGCACGGGTACTGCTTGCCTGACTCCATCTGGGGCAGGGGCGGGGAGGGAGCATGAGAACTCTCCATCTGAAATTAACCACCCACCCTCTTAACCCCAAACAAACAAGGCACGTCTCCCACCCCGGCCCTCACAGCACCAGAGACTCAGCCATCAGGGTAGTTGAGGAATTCCGAGTGAGGCTGACCCAAGGCTGGCGGCATCAGCTGTTAGCCTGCGTCAGTGCCTTGTTGCCAGCTGTTCTGGCCCCTGATGGGGAGAAGAAGGAAGAGGGATGGGGCAAAGGAGGGCAGACGCCACAGGAAGCACCCCATGCGCCCTGGATGTGTGTAGCGTGGACAGCACGGGACAGACCGCAGCTCTGTGTGGGTTCCCACGGGGCCTCTGCCCGCCCGGTGCCAGGGCGTCAGCTCTGAAGGCCGTGCTGAGCCCTGGCCGCACGGCCTCAGTGTGCTTGCTCTCTTGTTCCACCCCCAGTTCCATTGCGCCTACCAGCTGGCCGACTGGTGCCTGCACCACATCTGCACCAACTACAACAACGTGTGCCGCAAGTTCCCCCGCGACATGAAGGCCATGTCCCCAGGTGAGCATCCGGAGCCGGTTGCAGTGGCACCCCCTGCTGGCCCCTCCTGCTGCCAGCTCAACTTGACCCCCCAAGACCCCAAGGCTGCCGGGGGTCCTTGCGTCTCACTTGACCTTGGGGGTGGGGACAGCCCGCTCAGGTGCCTCCAGCCAAGCCAAAGGGGCCCCAGGCCAGGCACTGACCCGAGAAGTGGGGAGTCTGGGAACTCGGGCCACTTGCCCTGCCGCTCTGAGAGAGGCAAAGCAGGCATTGTGCTAGAATTGGAACTTTTCTCCTTTCTGAACGGGACACCATAGTAAGAAATTTATCAGACCCAGTATACACCTAGAAAAGTATCTGAAAAGAAATTTTAATGATGTGTTTATGAGGCCAGCATTGTGGCATAGTGGATAAAGCAGTTTCCTGCAATGCCAGCATCCCATACGGGCACTGGTGCATGTCCTGGCTGTTCTACTTCTAATCCAGCTCCTTGCTAATGCACCTGGGAAAAGCAGTGGAAGATGACCCAAATGTTTAGATGGAAGATCTCTCTCTCTCCCCCTGTCTTTAAAAAAAAAAATTTATTTATTTGGAAAGGAAAAGTTAGAGGGAGGGACAGAAAGAGTGAGAGAGAGAGAGAGATTTTTCCATCTATTGGTTCACTCCCCAAATGGCCTCAAGGGCCAAGGCTGGGCCAGGCCACAGCCAGGAGCCAGGATCTTCATGCGGGTCTCCCACGTGGGTAACGGGGTCCCTGGCACTTGGGCCATCTTCTGCTGCCTTCCTTGGCGCGTTAGCAAGGGACTGGATTGGAGGCAGGGCAGCTGGGACCCAAACCAGCGCCCATATGTTAAATGCCGGCATTACAAGCAGCGGCTTAGCCTGTTAAGCCATAACGCTGGCCCCCCAGTTTTTTTCTGCTGCTGCTCATGATGCAGTAAGATGATGTGACAAGCCGGGAGTGGGCACAGTGCACACCTGGACCTCCCAGGCCTGGACACGCTCTACAGTCCCCCACAGCCCTGCCTCTTCTTAATGAACGTCTCAGGCCCTAGAGCCCAACAGCACCTGCTCGGGACTCCCCAGGGGCCCGCCCCTCACTGTCCCCCGAGCTCTTCACTGGGCTCCCTCCACGCTGCTGTGACCCCCTCCCTGGCCAGCCTGTCGCGCATCTCTTTGCTTTTGGTAGAACCCTTCTAGAACTTCTTTTCCTATGGCCCAAGGTCAGTGACATCGCTGCCCCGGTTCTAGCCCTTCCCTGGCTCCCCACCTCCTCCCAGCACAAGGCCAGCTCTCTCTGCAGTCTCACCACAGCCCTCTGTCCCGCCTCCCTTCAGAATACTGGCCCTGGCCAGAAACTCCTCTCATCTCCCAGACTGTGGCCGGGGCGTTCCGGGCGTGGCTCACCCCTTCTTCCCCAAGCTCAGTCTCACCTATTCTATCTGTAACACACACGGAGCCGCCCATTTAGAGGGAACAACACAGGGGAGTCGGGCTCCCCGGGGGCTGACTTTGGGCTCCCCGCCCTGGGCATGCTACCTCTGTGCGTCACGGGCCTCAGGGAGCAGGTGCATGGCGTCCCTGGAGCAGGTGCAGGTCCTGGTGGCAGCCAGGCGGGGCGCCCCTTGGCCTGCCTCCTAACCAAGCGCCGCCCGGCGCGTGTGTTCTGCTCCAGAAAACCAGGAGTACTTCGAGAAGCACCGGTGGCCTCCAGTGTGGTACCTGAAGGAGGAGGACCACTACCAGCGGGCCCGGAAGGAGCGGGAGAAGGAGGACTACCTCCACCTGAAACGGCAGCCCAAGCGGCGCTGGCTGTTCTGGAACAGCCCCGCCTCGCCGCCCGCCTCTGCCGCCACCTCTGCGTCGCCCTCCTCCTCCTCGGCTGTGGTCTGAGCGGCCGCCGCCCTCTCCTGACCCTGCTGCTGCCACCCCGTGTGCCCTCGGCCTTCTGCTCTCGTGCATCACCTCCTCCACCCAACAGGGTCCAGGGGACCCGAATGACCAGGACCCTGAGGGCAGAGCCGTCCTCCGCCGCCAGAGAGGAGCCGGACCCTGCTGCTGATGGACCGCACAGGGGACCAGCCACAGAGGTCCCCCAGCTCCCAAGGAGGGCAGGAGACGACTGCTGGCAGGCAGGGACAGAGCTGTGTGCTCTGGCATTTTCTGTCTGGCTCTGAGAGCTCTCAAGTCCAAGGGAGAAGCCTTCCTCTGGCCACGAGGGCTTGGATGTGCGTCTCTGGCCCACGTGCTGGCCACACACGGTGAGCAGCGAGGGGCCTGCCCCTGTTGGCCGTGTCTTTTCACCCACAGACTTGAAGGTTGCGAGTGTTTTCGTGGGCACTTCCATGTGGAGCCAACTCATATCCTCACTGGAGAAGTCAGGGTAGAAACGGAGCCTTCGAAGAGCCCGCCTCCAGGCTTCTGTGTCCTGGGGCGGGCGCAGCTGCAGGAGGCGGCCTGGGAAGGCTTGTGTCCTGCCCGCCTCCCTCCCCCCGGCTGCAGACCACGCTGGCCGGAAGGTGGCGCAGGTGGGTCACAGCTCCCTGCCTGCAGGCATCGCCTCCTGGTGCCCTGAGAAACTTCTCCCTGGAGACAGGCAGCCAAAGCAACAGCTGGGATGGGGAGAGGAGAAGCAAGGGGTGGGGCTGCCCAGCAATCCCATGCTCCTCTGGGCCCCTTCCTCTGCCTCTGGGTAGCATTGCTTTTTATGGGGTGGGATGAAATTAGCAAAAAAAAAAAAAAAAAAAAAAAAAAAAAAAAAACAAAGACCAAACAACAAAATCGCCACCAACAGAAGCGCTCTATCCTCTGTCCCCCAAAAAGAATGGAAAGCAAAAGACCCTGCATAGCATACGTTTTTATAGACAGCCTTGGGCTGAGGGTGCCCCCTGCTGGCCAGCTCTGCCCCACAGCTTCCTGGCCTGCAGCCGAGGAGTCTGGGTGATAGGGAAGGACTCTGGGCTCTGGGCTCATCGGCCTCTTGCTGGGGAATGCGGGCCAGCCTCCTGCCCGGGAGGGAGGCCCAGGGGACCTGCTCCGTGTGCTGGGGTGGGGTCAGAGGTCAGGCAGGTAAAGGGCACAGCACCAGTGAGCAGGAGTTCTCTGTAGGAGGCAGGACACAGCCCTGCCTAGGGCTGGTTTGGGGTAAAGGGAAGGAGCAAAGGGGAGAACTGGGTTGGAGGAGGAAAAGCAAAGATAACCTGGAGAGGTGGGAACGGGGGGGGGGGGGGAGGGTTGGGGGGAGGGGTGAAAGCAGCAGCTTGCAGCCCCCCTGTGGCGAGAGCTGGGCCTGAGCAGACCCCTTCCCCCCGCCCCATCCAGTTCCCAATCCTGACTCACATCCCACAACCCACCAGCCCTCTGTAGAAGTGAGAGATGGTGTCCACCAATGAGGGTGGGACCAGGAGGCAGTGGGGTCCTGGGCTCAGAGCTCAAGAGTGAGGCTTTAGGTCGCAGGGCCATGGCCCGGGCTCCACCACCCAAATGCTGGCAGCTCTGGGACTGGGATAGAACGAATCCAGAAACAAAGCGGACCCCAAGATGAGCGCAAAGCCTCATGGAGAGAATGGGGCATCCCACGCTGTCCAAACCCTAGACCCTCCGAGTCCTCCGGGGTGGCAGCCGGGAAAACCAGTCTCGTGCTGCCCTCTGCTGGCTTACCAGCCTCCCTGCAGCTGAGCTCAGGCATAGGTGTGGCTTCAAGTGCGGCTGAAGAACCGGTGGCCAGCGCTGCAGGGCAGGAGCGTGGGGGTGGAGTCCAGTGCAGGACCCTGCACCCTCCCTCTGGGAAGGGAGGGACAGGGCAGGGGGACCCCCGTGCCTCGCAGGAACGAGACGTGGGAGGGAGAGCCCAGTCCTAAGAGCCAGGGGGAAGGAGAAGTGGGGGCTCTGGTGAAGACAGAGGAAGGCAGTGGGGGTGGGGTGGGGCCGAAGTGAAGGTCAGCCACAGTTGGAGGAGGCCCTAGGAGAGCGGCTACAGAACTGCCGGGCAGCCAGGGCCAGCTCACCCCTCAGGGACCCACCGCCCCTTCTCCACAGCTCATCAGAGCCACCCAGGGAAACCCCACCCCGGGAAGGCTGCGGAGGAGCCAGGCCAGTACTGGTGTCCTTGACCCCAGAGTGAAGGGGGCAGGTCGGGTGGGGGGAAGGGGTGTGGAATCCCAGTCCCCCAGGGAGGGGCACTTGAGATGCAGGGCGAGCCCGGAGATGTACAGGGGAGCAAGGAAGTCACACGAGACCCTCTCCCCCAGTCACTCAGAGCTGGTTCAGAGGATGGGGGCGGGAAAAACCCACGCCTGTTTTTATATAAGGTTTCATATTTAATTTGGTCATGAATTCATAAATACATGAGTATTTTGTACCTAACGGCCTTGCTTCTATTGCTTGGTGTCACCGACATGCTGGTCACACAGGCAACTGGCATGGGGCACGAAAGGACACCCCACCCCCCAGTGGATAACCCTGTTGGGTGCCAGTCCTGGGCCACCTGCTATCTGGCCTGGGCATAGAGGAAAGACAACAAGCCGACCGATTTCATGCCTTCGTGCAGTTCACTGTAAATAAATAACTGTGACGAACCCTGGCCCAGTGCTTCGGACAGGCTCCTAAGGACGTCCTCGTAAGGGTCACGGAGTGTCCTGTGTGGAGGGGACAGCAAAGGCAGAGAGCAGGACCCCTCTGGGCAGTCCAGGGAGCGGCTCACAGGCCCTGGAAAGGGAGGGGGTGGAGTATGAAGCCAGGGCCTCCCTTCCCCCTCCCACACCTCCACGCACACCGCAGCCCGAATGTGCCTGCCTCGTCCGGCAGTTCTGGCCTCGGCTGAGCCGTACCTGCTCAGGGAACATGTAGCACGCAATGCCCTGAGACAAAAAGATTAAAAAGCTACATCCTCCACAAAGGACCTAACATTAGGGGAAAAGGTGCCGGAACAGAACTGGTGTGGTCACTGAGGCTTTAAGTGACCCAGGGACAAAACCTGGCCTACCGTGCAGCACGGAGGAATCTGTCCACCTGCACCCACCTGCGTGGAGCTTTTACCCTGGGACGCACAGAGGGCTGCCAGCCTTGGTGGAGAAGCCAGGCCCCAGTGCAGCTCCAGGGCTCAGAATCCCAGGGCCCTGGGGGGGGGGCAGTGAGAGGGGCCACCTGGTCCTGAGTTAGCAAACACTTTGCACCGTTCCCGGGCACTGTCCACACTTCCTTCCCGGGAGCATGGCAGACGGGCAGGTCCTTGTCCTCGGCCCCTTGCCAAGCCCAAGGAGGGCTCAGAGTTCACTAACATTTGTTGGAAATGGCCTGTGACGTGGAGCCTCTTTGCCATGGCTGATCTAGCCATCTTGCACCCTCCCCACCCTGGCTATGGGCCAGGGGACAGAAGTCCAAGTGTGACTGCTCAGGTCATGGACCAACCACACGCAGGGATCCACAGAGCCACGATTCTCTGCTCACCTGTAAGCACCTGCCTATAAATAAATAAACATTGACCCATGCTTAAAGTGATCAACCTTAAACAACTGTCTCCCTGCGGCCGGCATTGTGGTCTGCAGGTTAAGCTGCTCCCGTGGTGCCCTTCTGGTTTGAGTCATGGTTGCTCCGTTTCTGATCCAGCTCCCTGCTGAGGCATCTGGGAAAGCAGCGGACGTCCTTGGGCCCCTGCACCCACATGGAAGACCTGGCTTCAACCTGGCCCCTGGATGATGCTGGATGGTGGAGCTACTTCGAGTACCAGTCACGTGAAATCTTTGGCTGTTTTGTATATGCTGGTGTCTGATCGTGCTTTTTCCAGAAAAAAAAAAAAAAAAGGATCAGCTAGGGAAGCTGGCTTCCCAGAGAGATTCCTTCATACTCGGGGTACAGCGGGGTCCCCAAGCAGCCCTGAATTGTCTTCCTTGTACATCTCTGCCCCCGTGTTTCCAAGGCAGAGGTGCCCTGCCCCCTCCTGTCGGGTGCTCGCAGTCCTGGGTTCGAGCTCTGGACACAAGGATTTCATTGTCCATGAGGTCCATCCACTGCCTGAATGAATTCCACAAATTAAAGCATAATACTTGGGACCGGCGCCATGGCGCACTAGGTTAATCCTCTGCCTGCGGTGCCGGCATCCCATATGGGCGCTGGTTCTAGTCCCAGCTGCTCCTCTTCCAGTCCAGCTCTCTGCTGTGGCCTGGGAAAGCGGTAGAGGATGGCCCAGGTGCTCGGGCCCCTGCACCTGCATGGGAGACCAAGAAGAAGCACCTGGTTCCTGGCTTCGGATCGGCGCAGCTCCAGCCGTGGCGGCCAATTGGGGAGTGAACCAGCGGAAGGAAGACCTTTCTCTCTGTGTCTCACTGTTTGTAATTCTACCTGTCAAATAAATAAATAAATAATATTTTAAAGCATTTTTTTATTTGACAGGTAGAGTTATAGAGAGAAAGGTCTTCCTTCCGCTGGTTCACTCCCCAAATGGCTGCCACGGCCGGCGCTGCACCGATCCGAAGCCAGGAGCCAGGTGCTTCCTCCCAGTCTCCCATGTGGGTGCAGGGCCCAAGCACTTGGGCCATTCTCTGCTACCTTCCCGGGCCACAGCAGAGAGCTGGACTGGAAGAGGAGCAACCGGGACTAGTGCCCAGCGCCCCAACCGGGACTAGAACCTGGGGTGCTGGTGCCACAGGCAGGGGATTAGTCAATTGAGCCATGGCACCAGCCCAAAAAAATCTTAAAAACACACACACACACAATGCTGGGAAAATAATTGAGAAACAGCCTCGGAGCAAGGTGGGAGAAAAACGAGAGACTGGCAGGTGAGCCGAATGTGCTTCAGAGCGGGGAAGGATCCTAAGCCGGGTCCCTGATCAGGGTAGAACCTGGTTTGTTCCCTATGGTAGTGAACCTGCTCCGGTGTCCCCGCCTGCTTCCCAGGAACAGAGAGCCAGACCATGCCGCCTGGACTAACCTAAGTTCCATCAAGTTCAGGACGCTTTTGTAAGCGATGATACCAGCCATTTAGTCTAATCCTAAAGAACTAAGGAGTGTGGGAATTTAACCATGTCGAGGCAGCCTGCTTGTGTATATATATACAAGTATATATTTTAATATTTATTTACTTGAAAGAGTTACACAGAGAGAAGTAGAGGCAGAGAGAGAGAGAGAGAGAGGTCTTCCATCCGCTGGTTCCCACCCCAGATGGCCGCAATGGCCTGAACTGCGCCAACTTGAAGCCAGGAGCCAGGAGCTTCTTCCGGGTCTCCCACGTGGGTGCAGGGGTCCAAGCACTTGGGCCGTCTTCTGCTGCTTTCCCAGGCCATAGGAGAGAGCTGGATCGGAAGTGGAACAGCCGGGTCTCGAACCAGCACCCATATGGGATGCTGGCACTGCAGGTCAGGGCTTTAACCTGCTGAGCCACAGTGCCGGCCCCCTGCTTGTATATTATTAACTGAAGAAGAATGGGTGCCCTTTAAAGGCTTTTTCAAATTAGGAAATAGAAATAAGTCAGAGGGAGCCAAATCAGGACCGGAAGGCATCCGGAAATCTAAGCTCCGATGGACAATCACAAAGTTAGGCTTGTTTGATGAGAGGAACGAGACACAGCAGTGTCACGGTGGAGACCCACTCTTTGGGAAAACGTTCTCAGGTGTTTTTGTGTCAAAGCTTTGGCTGGCTTTCTCAATGCGTGTTACCCATCTTCGGCCCTCCGGAAAGCCAACAAGCATAAGTCCCTGAACATCTCAAACTGGGGTCGCGACCTCCATCTTTGCCAGGTTCCCTTTGGCTGTGGCTGGACCACGTCCACCTCTCGGTAGCCATCGCTTTGTGCTTTGCCTTCAGGATTCCGCTGGGGAGGCTGTTTCCTCTCCTGTTACAATGCTTCCAAGTCTTCGGCATCTTGACCCCGCTTGTTTAGAATTTCCACTGGAGACTCTGGTCTGCAGCGGGGTGTGCACCCAGCCAGCAGAAAGTTTGCTCCTACTTTATTTTTCCGGTAGAATCACGTAAGCCGAACCAGCTGGTATGTCCGTGGGTTTGGCTATGGTTTCTGCTATTCGGAGTCAGCCCTCTTCAACGGGGCGCGAACAAGATGAATTCTGTTCTGAAGAGTTGCTGGGGATGGGTCTGCGCCGGAAGCTTCATCTTCAGTACTGTCTCATTCCTTCTGGAGACACGAGTTACCCGCGTGTAGACCGCTGCTCTCTTTGGGGCGCTGTCCCGCAAACTTTTCATTAACTATGGTGATGTCACCATTCCTCCTCCCACGCGCCACTGTGAACTTGGTGTTGGTTCACGTCGCTGTGACAGAGGCTCTTTTCAAACGAATGTCCTATCCTCGGTGTCTCAAACGGAATCCTGCTTGGATGTGCTTAAGAAATTAGTATGAGTGTATTTTGGCGCAAAAACATTCCTGAAACCCATGAATAGCCTTTTTCTGAACATGCATTTTCCATGAACGCTTTGAAGACCCAGAAGGAAGACCTTCTAGGACATCACGCTCCAGCTCCCACCGACACCGAGCCACACAAAATGAATCGGCTTCATCGTCTCATGCGTCACGTTGGGAGGAGAAGTCTTTTAGATGAAAAGCTCAGGAGCAGGAGAGGTGCAGGACACAACCTGAGAGCCCCTGGGAGGAGAGGAACCCTTGAACGACATCTCAAAGTCCTGACCCTGCTGGGTGGAGGCAGGCGAGTCAGGACGTCAAGGCTGAGAGGAGCGAAGCGCCTGCTGGGGGTCCAGAGCCCAGGGTAGGAGGAGTCTGGTCCTCAAGACAAAACACTGCGATTTCTTCTATCTTTAAAAATGCTAGCTTCAATCCTCCGCCTTGTGGCGCCGGCACACCGGGTTCTAGTCCCAGCTGGGGCACCGGATTCTGTCCCGGTTGCCCCTCTTCCAGGCCAGCTCTCTGCTGTGGCCCGGGAGTGCAGTGGAGGATGGCCCAAGTGCTTGGGCCCTGCACCCCATGGGAGACCAGGAGAAGCACCTGGCTCCTGCCATCGGATCAGCACGGTGCGCCGGCCGTGGCGGCCATTGGAGGGTGAACCAACGGCAAAAGGAAGACCTTTCTCTCTGTCTCTCTCTCTCACTGTCCACTCTGCCTGTCAAAAAAAAAAAATGCTAGCTTCAAAATGCAAAGTGTGTTTAATACTCACAGCACCTCTCAATTCAGCATAGTTAAGGTTATGACCAGGACGGTGCCACGCGGGTCCTTGGACACTCACAGAAGAGAGTCCTCATCCCCATCTCAGTGAGCCCCAGGCTTGGGAAACACAATGGGAACAGAAGTGTTAGAACCAGGAGGCAAAAGCCTTCGGTTAAAGCTCACGGCACCTGCTGTGTGTGGGCCGACGGTGGGAGGAAGAACAGGTCCCACCTGTGGAGAGTCAAAGACTGACCCAGGG